AACACAAGCACAATACCAAGCCATGCAAATACGACGTCTGTGTATGTGTGCGTGTGTGTGTGTGAATTGTTAATGTGAAAAATATATAATACACAAATAATACAGATATATATATATATATAATTTATGCTAAGCACGTGCAGGTATCCAAAATAAAAAAGTCAAATTTCTATGCAAATAAAATTCAAAGCGAAATCTAACGAAATAAAACTTAAATAAATTAAATTAAATATAAAAAGCAAATAACGGTAAAAGCAGAACAATTTTGCTGCCAGAAATTTAAAATTCAATTTGAAGCTTTTTATGCTGCGTTGTTTTTTTTTCTTTTATTTTTTTTTTTCCTTTTTGGCTAAAGCTCCACGCCCCGTCGGCTGTCGATGCTCGTGTTGTTGTTGTTTGCTGACAGTGCAGCAGCGATAACAACAATAACAGCAACAACAACAACAGCAACAACCAGAATAGCAACACCAACAACAACAGTAGCAACAAACATTACAACAAATTGCACTGCAGACAGCATCAACTAATAAACATCATTTAAATGGATAATCTGTGAGGCTTACGGCGTTTCATTAAAATGGATTTACGCCAATGCCGTTTCGCTGAGCTGCATTTGTGCATGGGATTATCGATTGTAATGCGCAGTCATCAAACAATACAACAACAGCAAAAAAGCCGCCGCAACAGCAACAACAACAGCAGCAACAGCAGCAAACATTGAGTTTTGGCCTAGCCGAGAAAGCAAAGAAACAAATAGAAAAGCAAAGCGAAGAATAGCGAAGAAAAGCAGAGTTCTTGTGTGTCTTATGAAACAATTGAAGTGCCGGGCCAAGGCACTACGAACGGCAGCAGCAGCAGCAGCATCAACAATACTATCAACAGCGGCAACAGCAACAACAATCAACAACAGCAAGAAAATCGCATCACATTTTTTAACGGCATACGCAAAAGTAAGTGAAATTAAATCAAGCTAAGTGTGAACTGATGTGAAGCGAGACGTTTCAGGGCATTCAAAAGAGAGAAAGAGTGAGAGCGTGAGGGGTGGGTGAGGGGGTCAGGTGTGCACGCAGGTGTGGCAGCAAAAGAGGGGACGGACAGCAGTCGTGTGCTTCGTGCACTCAAGTGTTTAAGTGGCAAAAACGCGGTCTCAGTCACAATCGCACTGCTCGCGTAATTATTCAACGTGTTTGTGTGTGTGTGTGTGTATGCTGAAACTAGGTCAGCGGAAGTTGCCCACCAGCAGCCGCAACCAGGCACAACAACAACAACCGCAACAACAACAGCAACTCACTTATGAAAGGTGTCAAAGCAATGCGTCTGCCGCGTTTGCTGATTAACGCCTCAGCCAGCGTAATTTTGCCGATAATCGCCGCGCAAAATATTGTTGCCTACCTTTCAGGGCACACGCGTCGGTCGTATGCTGCGCTGTGTGCGCGCATCAAAAAAATGTTGCCTACATTTGGGGGCGCGCGCTTCGCATGCTCAGCGACCAATTCATATTGCCTACATTTGAGGGCAGCCATTGCAAAATAATGTCATCTACCTTTGAGCACACTGTCACTCACTCAACACACGCACGCACGCCAAGCCAACCTGTACAGTAGGCACACGCGCAACTGACATTTTAATGAAAACATAAACTGAATTTACAATGTTCATTCAAATTTTTTGGCAATTTAATAATTAAAATTTTTAAATGTAAAAAGTATAAAAAGCACAATGTATAAAATAAATTGAATTTCACAAATCATATAAGCATAATTTTACAAAATTACTTGGAACATACTATAGTAAGGACTCATAAATGTGACGTTCATATTGACAATTAACAATTTTCTAATATAATAACCTAACAACAGTTAATTTAGTTTACTTTATAGTATAATATAATATTTAAAAATTATACTTAAGAAATTAATTTTCTTGCTAATATTATATTTAAAAAATTTTTTGTAACGGTACTATATAAATTCTATATTATAATATTCCGAAAAATAAATTAGTGAGCAGAACAAAAATTTCTATAAATACTTTGTTTATTAAATAAATATAAAATGCACTTTAAAAAATCAGAAATAATAATAAGTTTTAAATACAAATTTTGTAAAATTTAATACATTTAATTAGCTTTCTCATTGTTTTAAATATTTAATGACAGATTTTGAATGCCTAAAAATATCAACACAGCTGCCTTTTAGTCCAGCACAATTAAACCATAAATAGACTTGAACTTTCAGCTAAATTCAATTATTAAAGAGCATTGGAATTTTAGGCAAATTAGTATTATTAAATGTTTCAATTATTGAGCTTTTACTGTACTGCTTACACGCTTCCTACACGTGCGTGCCATTTGGATGGGTCTGTGCCTGTGTGTGTGTCTGTTTATGTGCCTATCTGTATCTACCTCGCACACACACACAGACAGAGACAGAGACGTACACGAGCGCGTAGCTACGCAACGGATTCGACAGCCGCCGCCTCATGAGGCTGTGGAAAAACATTTTCTTTTTTCTTTCTTTATTTTTCATAAGCAATCGCTTGCTGAAGTTTATAAGAAGACGATTGCGGTGTAAGTGCCTGTGTGTGTGTATGTGTGTGTGTGTGGAGGGATGTTAAAGCTATAAAATGAAACGTCAAACAAAATGACCTTGCTGAGCGAGAGCAAAAGAGAGATAATGAGAGAGAGGGAGAGGCAGATACACGAAAAAAGCAAGGCAACAACAAATATGTGTGGAAGAAATAGAATCTAATTATTTATTTATTTGTTGCCGCAAATGCCAGTTGAACTAAAGCTTAAAAGCTTCCAAATCAACACTAAAATAGAAAACTGGCAATCAAATCAGAACTATTTAAGGATAAAATGAAATTGGTCCCAGCCCACGGTTGACCTTAAGATAAAATAGAACGACATGACAACGGCACAAGCGACATGAAAGCAAGCCAAAAAAGAAAAGAAACAAAAAGAACACAGTATATCAATTTCGTTTTATCGAATTTTAATGCAAATACGGCTTGGACTAACAGATAGTAGAGGAGCATATATTATAAAAATATGTTATGTATGTGAGCACAGATATCATATGTATGAGACGCGATGTAAAGTATTAAAAATAGAACACTAAAAAGAGAAAATGTATAGAAAGGGCTAATGAGATATAGTAGAATTGTAGAGAATATATATATAAAACGTATAAATAGTAGGCTATAATAATTGTATTTTCATATTGTAAATATTGAAAGGAGAGAATTTATATATATGTATATAATATAATATGAAACAAGAAATGAAATAGCTCACTTTCATTTGTATATATATATTTTCTATTTTTAATTGTAAACTGATTCCATTAACAATCCTCAAGCAAGAAAGTGTAACTTGGCATAGTCCCAAGGGCTGGGAGGAGTGTATATGATATATATATAATAGAAGTATAAATACTTAAGACATGCATGTAATTATTAAGCATCTTATAATTTCGAAACACACATATAACTTATATTATATAAATGTTTCTTATTGCAACTAAAGTTACTAAAATAGTTCAACCAATGGCAAGCATCTTGAAAACTTTTAAATGAGTTCAAAATATCAAGCTAAAAGATATCAAATACTAGATATTTATGATATAATACTATACATATATGATTTACTATAACTTTAAGCAGCTGCATGCCAATTGAATGCGGATTTCACATGCTATAACTTTCTATAGTCTTAGAATTAACTACAGCTCAGTCACAGTGGGAAGGCGAAGAAGTCAGTGTAGTCGATTAAAAATGATACCAAAAAATGGCTCACTTTTCCTATACCTCCCCCAGCTAATTGTTGTTCAGTAAGTAATCAAACGGAACGTATAAATAAGCTCAGTCTGCAAGGCTAACAAATAGTTTAATTTAAGATGAATTGTTAAAAGCCAATTGAAATCAGATACAGACAAGGTCCTGCACTCGAAGCTTAACCAACTTCAAACAATTGACTCAGCTGTCATTTGACAGCTATCTATAGATAAATTGGCTAAATGATAGCTCTGAGCATTGTCAACGTGCCAAAAATAAAGGCAAAAAAAGTTAAGTAAACAAACTGATTGCATTATATTTAGCTCTAAAGTCAAGAGCTTCTTACATTGTAGACTGTAACACTAAACTATATACATTATATATATATATATATATATATTTCTATAATATATATTTCTATTATTAGCGTTAGCTTATTTCTTTGAAAGCCTTTCACTTAGCGCCAATTAGTATCTAAAGTAGCAAATATTTCTACATAAGTCTGGTCATCTTTAGTATTGCCTGGAAAATAAGAGAATTAAACTCTTTTTTAGTAAAATTATATTTATATGACTGTAGCGAGGTCGGTAAACAAACAAGAAACAAAGATTCCAGTCCAAGTCTCTTAGACTCCAGAGCTGTCTTAGCGAGGTCCGTCTTGCTTCAAGCTTAGCTTTGTATAAATATTTCCAAAAAAATATCATAAAACTCAATAAATCAAATATATTCTTGATAGTTACAGTGAACGCTACCAGCCTATATATATATATATATATATATATTTAAGTTCACAACAAAAACAAAAATAAATTCAAATAAAACTCGAACAGTCAAAACAAGTCGCACCCCTAAAATTGACAGCGAATCGGCTAAGCACAGAACGAAAAATATGAAATAGTCCACAAATGAGATGCCCACACCTTATATGGAGGGTGTGTGCCAAAAACGAGAAATTGCTTGCGTTAGCTGTAAACATAACCGAAGCGAGTCATAAAAAACAACCAAAAAAAAAAAAATAAGAGAAAAAACAAAAGTGCTGGACACATAAAATGTCGCTTGAGGCACGTTTCGGTTTCCCATTTCCCATTGCCAATTTCCCACTTTTGCCCGCGCTTCGCATTGGGCATTTCGCGTTCTGTGTCCATTGTGTTTGATTTTGTATTTGTGAATTTGTGATTTGTAATCAGATTGTGGACGTTCGTTCATTTGTTTGGCTTTTGCAGGATATGACAAGTGATGGTGCTGTTACGTTTTGGATATTTTTGCTTTGTTTGATCGGGACACCGCAGCTGGAGGGCAGCGAGGCGGGCAGGCCGGATGAGCTGCATATTGGCGGCATATTTCCAATTGCCGGCAAAGGAGGATGGCAGGGTGGGCAGGCGTGCATGCCGGCCGCAAGACTGGCATTGGATGATGTCAACAAGGAGCCAAATCTTCTGCCCGGCTTCAAGCTCATCCTGCACAGCAATGACAGCGAGGTGAGTTCACACACAAACTCACATATATATATATGTATATATATATATATATTCACTATGATAAGTTGCCAGCCAATATACATGTGGAACTGCGTCTAGTTGCGACCCCTTGGGTCTCACTTATTTTGTTTCATTTCTGCGTTTTGTTTTTGCCAGCGTTTTGCCTCGCATTGTCGTTGCCAGGGGTTGAGCTTCTACGCTTGGGCACCAGCTCGTGGGGTGTGGAGAGCAGCATTCATTAGCATATTTCTCTAGGGGACCATGCACACACAGAGTGTAACGTTTTATTATGCTTTTGTTATATTGCGCATAAAGGGTATTTGACGTAAGTGTTCTTCAAATCAATTTCAACTCAATTTCGCACAACTTTTATTGTCATTCGTTCAATATACTATTTCAGCTTGGATAATCAAATCTATTTGATATATGCATAGTGGCTTTGTGCAGCGGTAGAAGCTCTCAAAATCATTTAAGTTTGGCTTAAGTTGGGATTTTCACTTGTCTCTCAGATATTCAATTTAATTAAATATATATTTGTTTGTAGATTTTTTAATTTAATAAATTTTTTCCTATTTTATACACATCATTTTTAAAATAGTTTGCAAAAATATTATTTAAAAAAAATCCTTTTTTTTGCAAATAAATAAATATTATATTATAAAAAAAAATTAAATATTTTATTAAATATTTTTTATAATTTATTTATATTACCATTTTTCCTTATGTCTTAGAAATTTTTGTCATTTATTATTTTAATTTCCACAAGCTTTTTTCTTGAGTACTCATATTAATAATTTGAAAATAAATTTGTGACAGCTTAAATTATCTGCTTAAAATAAATCTAATAGGAATTATTTAGCTCATCTTATTTATATTAAGAATAAAATGTTTTTTATAATATTTTTCATTCAAAAATAATTTGCACTTTAAGTAACTGTACGAAAGCTTTCGGCGAAAATGATTTGAAGAACACTGGCAAAAACTTGAATATGTATGTGTATATAGCTAAATATATTTACTCGCATAACTGTCATGTGTCATAATTAATGGCTAGTTGTTGTCGCGCTGGCTAGCACGAAATGTTATCAATGCGAGCATTTATGCTTATGAATAGTGAAAGGGAATGGAAAAGGACAGGACACAGTTTTGTACAGTTACAGCTAGACACAGTAACAGTTACAGTTACAGCTGGCTGTACTACATAGGATGCCTATTTATAGGCGTAGCTCATTAGTTTTAAGTGAGCGAAAGCTTACCGAAAACTTGTTTTGAGTTTTGAATGAGGTCACTTTGGCGCGCTCGTCTCATCATTTCAGTTTCAGTTTCAGTTTATTTTTATTCAAGGCTGACAGACAAACCTGACTATATATATATACTCTATAAAACATACTATTTATATATATATATATATATATATATAAATGTGTGTGTATATTTGTATATGGGAGTATGTTAAGTGCTGCTTGAATTGAGTTCAGTTTGGTTTCGCTTCGCTGGGCATTGCTACTGAAAGGGCTTTTGCTATATATGCTCGCTATGTCACAGCGGCTTTGGCAAACAGCTTCCGTTAAATGCTGCATAATTAGTTCGCATCTCTGCGCCATCTACGTGCCATCATCAACATCATCATCGGCATCGTCGTCATCGTCATTATGATGATCATCTTTAGCATCCGTGGGCGACAAGCAGCAAAGGTCGCACGCAATGCCTTTGCCTTTGCCTTTGGGTTTGCCTTTGCCTTTTGCTTGACCTACTTTGATGTGTGAATTGTCCCGAGGAACGCGCGCGCGCTCGCACACCGAAATGATTAAACAAGTGCGCTCATAATGCGGTGAGCCCTCCGGATTTATATATATGTACATAACATATACACTGGTATATGCTCTCGCTGTGCCACGTACAGGATAATAAAAAAAAGGGCAAGGGAAAGGGAAAGGAAAGGAACACAATGCGACTGGACACGAAGCCAAACCAATTACAAAGGTTGTTTACACGCAAAGTCCAGTTAAACAAAGCGTAAATGACTTTTTCATTAAAGGCATGAATTTAATGAATCATCATTATCATCGTCGTCAGCACATGGTGCAAATGCAAATGAATGCATGCTTTATGAGCGCCTCCAACTGTTGCCTATTTCACTAACCAAATACATCATTTATTCATTTCATCTAATTGAATAGATAAGCTCGCTTCAACCACAAATATGAAGAGCAACAAATTATCGAAATAGAAAGCAGTTGCTGATTGCAACAACAATAGAAATTAGTAATGACTTAGTGCCTCAACTTCATCTAGTATATTATTTATTATTTTTTGCTAAATATATTGGACAACTAAAGTGAGTTTTTAAAATGTTTGCTTCAATTTAGGCACCTTTCAGATATAATTTAATATTCCTTTTCATATCAAATACATGTAATATTATGATCAAATCATTAAAGCATAAAGAATATTTCTTAAATTTTTTTTTTGACTTTAATTGCAAAATATTTAAAATTTTCAATTGATATAATCAAACTAAAATTCCTAGACAAAGACTAAATGTCTTAACAAGTAGCAGTAGATTATAAAGATTATATATATACAAGTTATATAATCTTTATACTCCAATATAGATTTTATATACAAGATACTCGCATGATTTATTCGATCATTGGCAGCTATTCAATAGGACTGAGGCATGTGTGTCCTAGCAAACATATTTCATGCTTATATATTAGACGAACCTATATTTCTTTAGTGAATATACGTATAAGGAAACATATATTCAGACAAATCTTCTAACATACATATTTCTTGAACAACTTTTCAAAGAAATTTTCCATAAGAAATTTCATTCTCTGGGCCAACAGAGATTTCTAAAAACTTTAGGATTGTTTAACAAGGTTATTTGAGAATACATATTAAATATTTTCTTTATACGTATACATAGTGTTTGCTTTCACAAGAATTTTGCTATTAGGTAATAACAATTTGCAAGATGCCTAAAAATATTAAGTATACGCAAATTCATTTTTCGAAAAGAGATTCTTATTAAATGCCTATGCGTATATGCGCTGTAATTCTTTATTAAGATATATACAAACTATATTAGCATAAATGGATCTTACAAATGACACTTATATATTTTAAAAATCGAAGTTATATATTTAAAAAAAACGCTTCAATTAAATTTGTTTAGCTGGTCTATTAAAAGAGAGAGTGTCTCTCAGATAGATAGACAGAGATGCCTGCCAATATTACGTATACGTAAGCACGCCTTACGCTAAAACTGCTAAGAAATTTCATTTTTAATATTACAATAATTTTTCATTTAGAAGAACACAATTTTCATAAGCTTTTTAATATTACGTATACGTATTATTTTTTACTTTAAAACGAATTTATCTTTTGGAAAATACAAATTAATTAAATTTAGCGAGATGCCAACAAATACGCATATTCGCTTTTAGAAAAACAATCTCCATTAAGAAATATTATATACAATTTGAAAGGAAAAATAAAAAGAAATTATTTAAACATTACGTATACGTATTTTGGCTTTAAGAATAAATTATTGTTAAGGCTTATTGCATATGAGGATGCGTGCATAACAAGAAAATAATAAATGTGCAAAAACGCTTAAATACAAAAGAAGTTTTTTCAACAAAGAAAACATAAGATAAAATTACAAAATTGCATCAAGTTTAGCGATAGAATTACTTTTCCCCACAGCTCGGCGGCCTTCAAATATTGAACTAAGCTAAAAAGATAGGAAAGAGAAAAAGCATCAATCAATTCTATTTAATTTAGGATAGAGCCCGAGGTATATTCTATTGGTTGCATCGGATATTCTTTACTTTTAAATTTATTTATTTGATTTCGTGCATTATGTAAACTTGCATTGAAGCCTGACTCGTTTGTTGGCAGCTGACAAACTGGGTCATGCCCTTTGCCAAATGCCATTTGTAGACATGTGTAATTGACTCGCTCGCTTTCTCCCTCTCTCTTCACTTCTCTCCCCGCTGTCACCGAACATCTATCTTGTTTGTACAGTGCGAACCGGGTTTGGGCGCCAGTGTGATGTACAATCTATTATATAATAAGCCGCAAAAGCTGATGCTCTTGGCGGGCTGCAGCACTGTCTGCACCACCGTTGCAGAGGCAGCCAAAATGTGGAATCTAATTGTGGTAAGCTAACGATAAATATGATTTATATATATATATATAGACACACTCAATTTATGTGTGCATCTGCTTATACTGTAGCTCTGTTATGGCGCTTCAAGTCCCGCTCTGTCCGATCGCAAACGTTTTCCAACACTGTTTCGCACCCATCCCTCGGCCACGGTGCACAATCCAACGCGCATCAAGCTGATGAAAAAGTTCGGCTGGTCACGCGTTGCCATTCTACAGCAAGCCGAAGAGGTATTCATATCGGTAAGTAAACCCCATCTATATACAGATATATAAACTTGATCAATATATATTATTGCGTTTTGTAGACCGTCGAGGATCTTGAGAATCGCTGCATGGAAGCTGGCGTCGAAATCGTAACTAGACAATCATTTCTATCCGATCCAACAGACGCCGTACGCAATTTAAGACGCCAGGATGCCCGCATCATTGTGGGCCTCTTCTATGTGGTGGCAGCAAGACGCGTTCTCTGCGAGATGTACAAACAGCAGCTCTACGGGCGTGCTCATGTCTGGTTCTTTATAGGTAAGGCAATCAGGGCGAACTTGTTCTTTGAGACTTCTTTAACAGTCACTTGATAACCTCTTGTCAAATTTGACATACATTTGATGATAACTAGGATATCTGCATGTCAGCTAACTTCTACTTGTCAACTGTATGGAAAATGCCTTATAAATAATAAATAATGTCATAGTCTGATCAAAGTATTCAGTAAAATACAATTTAAAGTGCTTGTCACTTGATAACCTCTTGTCAAATTTATCTGTGTGATATCTGAGCAAAACTTCTATATCATTTGAAAGTTCAAATCAGTTGAAATATTGTCAATCTTGTAAAAAGTTAAGATAATTATTCCACATTCACTTTTTCTAGCCTAACCTCTGCTCTAAAGTGCAAGTTAGTTGTTTAGCTCCTGTCAAATTGAACTCGCTATTTTTTAACTTTTCTTTAAGTTTAATTTCAATTGTTATCCTCCTGTCAACATGGTGTTAACACACACATCTTGTGATAAGCTGAAATCTACAGAGAAATGGCAATTTCTTCTCTCTTACATATCCCTTAGTTGACATCTTCTTGTCAACTTGAGTAAGAAAGCTTATCAAAATTTTACAAGAGAAAGTGCAATTTGACGTAAGTTCATATTACATATCTTATCTATTCCTATTGTTGAAAATGCCTTTCTCTGCACAAGTTCTTGTCAAATTTGATCGTCAAATCTTGTGAAAAGCTGACAGCATGATTCGAGATACTGTCATTTTGATATAAGCATAATAGTGCTAGGCCAACACTCAAGTAATTCAAGTAATTAAAACAGCGAACGCAACATTAATAATTAATTCAACAAGTCAAATTGCCTGTTAAATTTGACAGTGACATGTGAATAGGTAATTCATGTAATTAATCAAAATACAATCAATAGGCTGGTACGAGGACAACTGGTACGAGGCAAATCTGGAAAATGAGGGCATAACGTGCACAGTGGAGCAAATGCGCATCGCTGCCGAAGGACATCTGACAACCGAGGCTTTAATGTGGAATCAAAACAATCAGACAACAATATCGGGCATGACCGCCGAAGAGTTTCGGTAAATTCCATTCAAATTGTGAAAGCAAAACCCAATTCTATTTGCAAATGTGCATTTTAGACATCGACTGAATCATGCGCTTATCGAAGAAGGCTACGACATAAATCACGATCGCTATCCAGAGGGCTATCAGGAGGCGCCGCTGGCCTATGATGCTGTCTGGAGTGTGGCATTGGCCTTCAACAAGACAATGGAGCGTCTAACGACTCGAAAAAAATCGTTGCGAGATTTTACGTACACAGACAAAGAAATTGCCGACGATATATATTCGGCAATGAACTCGACACAGTTCTTGGGCGTATCGGTAAGCTACTGGAAGTAGATATAATTGAAATAATATATTATATCTAAATGCTATACGGGTTTCTTTTAGGGCGTGGTTGCATTCAGCTCACAGGGCGATCGAATTGCGCTCACACAAATCGAACAGATGGTAAATGGGAAGTACGAAAAGCTAGGCTATTACGATACACAGCTGGACAATCTAACTTGGCTAAATACGGAGCAATGGATTGGTGGAAAGGTAAACTAAATAGGCCATGAGCCAATCGAAATAAAACTGAAACACACATACAAATAAACTGAAAAAAAATGCTTGAATAATGGATAAAGAAGATAAAGACAAAGATAAAGATAAAGATAGAGACAAAGACCAAGACAAGGACAAGGACAAGGACAAGGACAAACATAAAGATACAGATACAGAAGCAGATACAAAAAAAGACAAAGATACAAGCAGTTCTAAAGCTAAAGATACAGATACAGATACAGATACAGACAAAGACAAATATTCAGTTAAACGGAAATATGCAAACAGTTATACAGATACAGATACAGATACAGATAATGAGACTGATACAGATACTGATACAGATGCAGAAAGCGATGAAGAAGTAACAGGGCGTATCGTTAAAATTTCCTTGGTAAACACGAAATATGATTACGAAGACAATGAGCAGCCGGAGAACATTGTGTACTATGCAGATACTGGAGAAATGGGCTTTGAAACAAGCATCGATGCAGACTCAAGCGCATTGGAAAAAAAAGAAGTTCGAATCGTGGACGAGCAAAACAATGAAGAGAATGGAAATAATAATACTGGACAAGCCAGATTATATAGTAGAGTAACACAGAGCAACACATCGGTAATCAGCGACATAAGCACAGTCACTGTAACAAGTCCAGATATTTTCGCGGGTGGAACGATGTTGGAGTCGGTCGATACCATAACACAGAATAGGCTACACCGGGGCACAGTGCGGTTGCCACAAGAGAACGATGCATACGATATCCCCGGCGGTCAACGTCAGCAATATCCCGACTGTGAATATCATTTTCCACGCTACAAAAACTTGACCCGAAAGCTATTTTACGACGGCGATACCAATAAGTACTGTTCGCGTAAGCCAATGCATTGGCTCTACTCGATCATTTATGTATGCATCTTCATTTTTCTCCTTGTGTACTTCGGAAAAGCGATTTTTCATCGTTTTCAGCTCGAGTTCACCAGCACCTCGCCCAAATGCAAAATGAAGCAGCCATATTTGAGCTTTGCCCCGATTGGCGACAAAACCAATTACGACCTCATCGAGTATGATTTGATGAATGCGACAAACATTATCTATATGCGCAAAAAGGTGCAACATTTCCTGGATAGGCATGGTCGGACAGAGGGCGTAATCGAAAGGTTTGGACCCTGCCAATATGCGAGTGACTTTGGCTACAGCGGCACCGATCCTTGCGTATTTTTGAAAGTCAATCGTTTGCTGGGCTTCAAAACGAAGCCTTATAAGACGGTCGAAGACCTCAAGAAGTCCGATATCGACTTTCACGATTATGAGATGCTGATGAAACTAGTTTGGAATGCAACCGAGAAGGCAAAACTAATAAGTCATATTTGGCTAACTTGCGTATCCCATCCGCAGATACAAATGAAATTCTATCCGATGCCTGCATTCAATGCCAAATATATTGATTTCGAAAGATTCCCAGATATAAAAATGACAAATCAGGACATTAAATTCAATAGTAAACATAATATGAATCGTTTGGTTGCAATCAAATTGGGGCACTTGCCGGTCAATAAGATATATTCGTTTAATTGCAAAATCTGGGCATTAAATATACAGAATGATCGCAACGATTTGGGCCAAGTCTCTTTTCACGTGTTGGCCAACAAATTGGCAACAAAGAAAAATATCGGCTATCATGAAGCATTATAAAAACACATTTCCGATATATATATTTATTATGTATAATCAATGGAAATCTAAAATGATTCTAGGGCAAATTTTACTTTCTCAACACATTATCTTTTTCCTTACGATTATTATAGGTGCCGCAGGATCGTACAATTGTTACCCATGTGTTAAGAACGGTCTCTTTGCCGTTATTTGTTTGCATGTGCACCATCTCCTGTTGCGGCATCTTTGTGGCCTTCGCTCTGATCATCTTCAACATATGGAATAAGCATAGAAGGTATTTACAATGTAAAGTCCATTATTATACAGTATATATATATGTTCTTGACTTTTCAGAGTAATACAATCCTCGCATCCTGTGTGCAATACGATCATGCTATTTGGCGTTATCATCTGCCTTATATCAGTCATATTACTGGGCATGGACGGGCGCTTTGTCAGTCCACATGAATATCCAAAGGTAATGTTATTATATGATATATATATATATATATAAATATAAACTAACTACTTCTCTCTCTCTCTCGATTGATCTCTCTTGCTCTATCACGATCTTTCTTTATCTTCGCATCTCTCTATATCGTTTTCTTTATATTGATCACTCTCTCATAATAGATCTGTCAAGCACGTGCTTGGCTATTATCCACCGGTTTTACATTAGCATATGGTGCTATGTTCAGCAAAGTCTGGCGTGTGCATCGATTTACAACAAAAGCGAAAACTGACCCAAAGGTAAAACTATTTCCATTCCAAATGCAATTCGTATTATTTATAATATCCTCTTTCATTTAGAAAAAAGTGGAACCTTGGAAGCTATACACCATGGTTTCGGGGCTCTTATCAATAGATTTAGTGATATTATTGTGTTGGCAGATCTTTGATCCGCTACAGCGTATACTCGAAACATTCCCACTCGAAGATCCAGTATCTACAACTGATGATATTAAAATACGTCCAGAGCTTGAGCATTGCGAAAGTGAACGCAATTCCATGTGGTTAGGTATGTAGCTAAATTTCAATTTAAATTTCAATTTTAATTTGCCTTTTTTCCAGGACTTGTTTATGGCGTTAAGGGTCTTATATTGGTATTTGGCCTGTTCTTGGCCTATGAGACACGTTCGATCAAAGTCAAACAGATAAACGATTCACGCTATGTGGGCATGAGCATCTACAATGTGGTTGTGCTCTGCCTGATTACAGCGCCAGTTGGTATGGTCATTGCATCGCAGCAGGACGCATCATTCGCCTTTGTTGCACTAGCTGTGATATTCTGTTGTTTCCTAAGCATGCTGCTGATATTTGTGCCAAAGGTAATGCGTCTAGAATTATTGAAGTCCCATAATTAATTGAATATTTGATCATTTTCAGGTCATTGAGGTCATACGACATCCAAAAGATAAAGCCGAATCGAAATACAATCCAGATTCGGCCATATCCAAGGAGGATGAGGAACGCTATCAAAAACTGGTAACCGAAAACGAGGAACTACAACGATTGATAACACAGGTAAGTCAAGTATAAGCAATATAAGCAATTCCTAAGCTCCATATTGTTTACATGAACAGAAAGAGGAAAAGATAAGAGTATTACGGCAGCGGCTTGTCGAGCGGGACGTGAATACGAAGGGCACAGAACTGAATGGGGCATCGGGTCCCGGCATCGGAGCTGGTGGTGCCAATGGTAATGGCAATGGTAACGGTAACGGCAATGGTGGCACAGCAACAACATCACTGGCAATCCAGCCACTGGCTGCAAACATCATCAGTACAGCTGCCTCAGCGCATCCCACGCCCGCAGCCACACTCGCAATCACACAAGGTGAGTGAACAATAGCTAACTAACATAACATAACTACAAGCCTATGGAGCAGTAGTTGCTTTAAATATGTTTTTATTACTTTTTACATTAGAAATTTTGGCCATTTTTGCGGGCATTGAGAAAATCGATTGAATATTTTGCAATTGGAGTTTCCAGGTTATTTCTATTTATTTGTACTAAGCACAAACTCAAGCAATTTACTTCAACTAACGGTGCTTTTCCGCCAGAAGATCATTAACATAGCAGCACTGCTCAAACACCAGTGATCGTCTGTTTGCCACTCACTGTGCACTGTTAAAAGCTATCTCTGTAAAATACATCGATATATCGCTGTGTCACATCGCGGGCAATTGCAATCGATATTATTTAAAGTGTTATTTGAAAAATTACGAAACAATGTTTATAACATATATTTTTATATCTCTCTTGCAGATACTCATGAGCACCGTACATGAAAAAACTTGTCAATTTCCTTTGCGTGATAGGTGAATTATACAAATGAAAAATTGAAGAAGCTAAATGATAACTTAATATATGTGTATGTAACTTAATGAACTTTGTATCAACTTTAAGCTGAGCTAAATATATATATATATATATATATATATATATATATATATATATATATATATATACATAAATATATATTGAGAGAATTGGTAGCAGCAATTTTGTAGATTAACTGAAATATGTATTGTACCTTAAACGTGTTTAGCAAGTACTTAAATCGAAATATACTTCTAAATTACAACAATTAATTAACGACATTAGAACGTGAACTAAGCAAAATTGTTAGGCTTTAAAGTTGAACACAAACCACAAACATAGTCAAGTCATTTAGCTAAAAAAAACGAAACTAAACAAATGAAAAAATAACTAAACGAAATCATGTTAAAGTTAATGTAATTTTTAAATGAAAACAAATTGTTGTGTTAGTACATATGTTCTTGTATAACGAGTAATTTACCCCATGAACCTTTTTTGCTCAGCGCGCTGTCTCCTAGAGCTACGAACACACATGCACACATCCACACATCTACACACACACACATACACCCATACACACACACACTTATGCATAGCACATGCATTTATGTTTCCCAAGGCGGCCTTTTCCCATATTTCATCATTTTATTTTTATGTGAAGGACTTGCAGTTCTTGACTCCTATAGACTCCAGACAAAGTTTTGGCCTATTCAACTCGTAGTCCTAAGCTAGTGTTAGTCTTTATTGTATAGAACTCATGTGTATGTGTGTGTATAAACAGTTTCCATTGTTTCCTTTGTTTCAAGGGCCTGTCCAAACAATTCTCGTACATCTAATTTTTATTGCACGCGAAATAAAATGTTTTTAAAATAGTTTAAATTTTTCTGTCTGAGTCGTAAGTAGCACAAAATAAAAAGAGCATAGCAAATTTTAGATAATTAATAATATAGCCTGATCTAGTGTAGTATCAGCATATATATATATATATATATATATATATATATATATATAAATATATATATTTGAGGGCGGGTTTATGTGCTCAAGCAACATTTTAATTTGTATTTAGTGTTATATATATATATATATATATATATATATATATATATATATATATAGAAATTATGATTGGGGCAATCGAAAAGCAAAAAGAAAAATTTTTGAACATACTGTAAGTTCTAAAATTGCATTTATATAAATTCTATATATATGAATATATATAAATATATATGTATTCATATGCAGAAAGCAAATAAATTGGTAAATACTGAGTGCGTCGTTATTTAAATAGGAATTGACATTATATAAAGTAAAAAGCAAACGAAAACTATTGAAGAAAAGTCTCCAAAAATAAATATATATAAAAAAACCAAAAACGAAATGAAACCTTTTATAAATTCAATCACTCTAATCCATCACGAAAAGTGCTATAAGAAAAACAAAAAAACATCACATAGACAACATCAAATTCCTACGAAATGAAAGACTTTAAAATCTAAGCCGTTAAATGAAATAAAACTATACACACACAAACACATATATATATATAGTATATACTAATGCAAATATTCATGATATATATATATATACGAGTAATTTTCACCTTGCAAAAATGACATCGTCTTTAGTGAAAAACAAACAAATAAAAACGACATTTAATAATTGTTAAGGATCGTTGGAATTTGTAGTTTAATTGGATTGTAATTCATATACATATATAGGGAATGCTGTTAGGGTAGTCGTAATTTAAAACATGTATATTGTATATAGCGTATTAAGCTAAAAAAAAACACACACACACCCCACAAAACTAAGCGACAATTGCAAGTTTTACTCAACAGCAGAAAAAAGGAAAAACTCAAATGTTAAATATTGCATTTTCAGTTCTTTGCTTTTCCGTCTCAAACACACACAGATACAAAAAGCTAATAACTAACTTTAGCAAAGCTAATTGTTGTAAAAATAAAAACAAAAATAATAAACCAAAATTCAAATTGATTTCCCTAAAATAACAAATAAGAAAACAAATTACAATTGTAGCAATATGAAGCAAAGAAAACTCGGTATGTTCTTATGAAAGTAACATTAACGAATTAATTTAAAGTCTTATTAACGGAATATGAGAATTTTACTGAATAAACAAACAAAAAATAAAAACACAAAAAAAAACAGAATGAAAAAACAAAACAAAAAAGAAAGAAATTTCAATTAACTAAGAAATTGTGAATTCTATAAAACAAAGCTCGTTTTTTTTTCCATAATTTGATTTCGAAATTCAAGTTATATACAATTTATATATAATTTGAACGTGCAATAATCCTTTCAGTTCGCTTAATTGATTTATGCAATCTGCGCTCTTGCCAACAGGTATGGTAATTATTTCTTTATTTATTTATAACTTATCGTGTTTGTAGAAATATTATCAGCTTTTTACAAACATAATTTGAATACGCTGTATTTCATTATTTAGGCAGCGGAGAAGCCAAGTACAGCTCAAGTTCAAGCTAAAGCTAAACCTTACATTTAAAGCTAAAAAGTATAGGTTATAGCTGCAATCCTAGCGTTTCCTATAGCTAGAAAGTGCACTTACAAATAAAGCTATATTTTTGCATATATATAGCTATGGCTACAAAATGATTTAATTCCTAAAACTAGCTATAATAGAGCTAAACTTCTTCTGCTTCACTTGACTCCAGCTTGAAATACAATTGAAAATATAGCTAAACTAGCTTTGAAGCTGCGAAGCAACGCAACCGGCTATTCGTTAACTATTATCTGTAGTTTTCCACATATTCAGCTGGACTGTGACAGTTCTCTGAGAACTTGTTTCTACTGTAAACTAGTTTGCAATTGAATTCAGCTCACAAACAGCCGATTCCCCGTAGCCTCTGACCCGATATGATTTAACAACCAGTTGCATTATAAATCAGTATTGTCGGCTTACAGATTCTTTCTTCTTTTTTTCATCGCTCCATTACATTTATTTTTACCATACCTTTATTCCCTTCCGCCAATGCTAATTTGGCTGGCCCACCTACAAGAGTGTGACGGGCAACGGCTGCTGCTGCCGTCAAACTTGCAAGATATTTATGTCGTGTGTTGCGAGAGCTTTATGAAAGCTTTTCAGCTTTCGCCCAGCATATTAAGCTCTGCACAGCGCTCAAGCCATGCAGTAAGCGCGCTCAGCTCGAACGTTGCGGTGGTTCAACTAGAAACAGAGATTCCCAAGTTCAAAACGAAAATTTTTGAAATCCAAAAGTAAAAACAAGCCATGTTTACAGTTAATCTGCTGGCTCTGTGCTTTATCAGCTGCCTGGGCGTTAATGCCAAGCTGGAAGAACGGTTCTCGTGGAAGCAGCTGACCTTCGATTGGCCCAGCGCCGAGGCCGAGGCGGAGGCCAAGCAGAGCGGCCATTATATTGCAGAGAACAATTTGCCACTTGGCGTGGAGCGTTGGGAAAATAAAATCTTCGTGACTGTGCCAAGGTAGGTAACCAAAAATTGCCAAAATCTTGCGACTATCAACCACATTGTGTACTTTATATATATATATATATTGAAAGCGGGGGATTGCGAAAATCCAATTGAGATTGACTCAAAAACCGGTTATTGTTGGTGTTGTTATTGTCTGTAGCTCTTTTTTAGTTTACAACTATTTGCATTTTAGATTACTCTTATGCAAAATGTCAATAACTTGATTAATACCTTAACTAATTGTTTAAACGGAATCAGCTGGCATATAGATAAATCTATATAACTGTCTAAAGAGATTTTTAATTAAATCTTTGTCTATTTCAAAGTGCTCTTCTAGTTGCGCATGACGTCATCGCCACACGGTGGTTTACCTATTTCTATTGAGTAGATCAAAACAAAGAAAAAATTAATTGATATGATATGATTCGTCGCTTCTATAGAAATCAAAATTAGAATAACAGAATAAATAATTTAGCAGAAAACAATTCTAAACAAAAATCCCTGTAACAACAAAATTAAATCAAACAAGTATCTAAAACTGAAACCGATTTCGTACGTAATTCAATATACTCGTTATTGAATTGTTTTGCTAAAATCTTAAACTTAAAAAACAAAAGTACTTAAACTTAACTTATTTTATCAGAAATTTGATCGCTTAGAAAGCGAAAATTTTGAACAAATTATCATTTCATATTCATAATTCTCTGCTCTATTGACAGATGGAAGGCAGGGGTTGCAGCCACCTTAAACTATATTGACCTCTCGACTACGGAGAAGTCACCAAAGCTACGTCCCTATCCCAGCTGGGCGGCCAATAAGCTGCCAATCGATGTGCAGCCGCAGGAGCAGAAGACACCATCAGGTGGACGTTTGGATGCGGAGAAGGCACAGGATGCTAACGTACAGTTGCAGGACAATGCCACAATCATTTCCACCTTTCGCATAAACGTTGATGCCTGCGATCGTCTCTGGGTGCTGGACACTGGTCTAGCCGATATCTTGGGCAATCCCAAGCAAATTACACCCAGTTCGATATTGGTGTTCGATCTGAAAACGGATCAGCTACTGCGTCGCTTTGCCATACCCGCCGATCAGACCAAGGAGGACACATTCTTTGCCAATATTGTGCGTAAGCTTTAAGCTACATGCTTGATTACCCATACGATAATTCTGAAAATTTGTTTGTAGATTGTCGATTTGGATCGCGAACAGTGCGATGATGCGTTTGCCTATATTCCAGATTTGGGGGCATATGGCGTCGTCGTCTACTCGTACAGAGATGATAAGTCGTATCGTGTTAAGCACAATTACTTCCACTTCGATCCGCTGCAGGGTGACTTCAATGTGGCCGGCGTCAACTTCCAGTGGACCGATGGCGTTTTTGGCATGGCCGTTGGACCACTGAACCCAGATCATACCAAGGATATTTACTTCCATGCCTTGGCCAGCACCAAGGAGTTCAAGGTCTCCAATCGTGTGCTCCAGAACGAAAGTTATGTGAATGGCGGCGATTCGTATTATGATTTCAAATTGATCGGTGATCGCGGCATGAACGGACAATCGACAGCCGAATCGTATGACAAGGAGACGGGCGTACTATTCTATACGCAGGTGAACAAAGATGCCATCGCCTGTTGGAATGTTAAGCGTCCATATACAGCCGATACACAGGGACTTATCGAATCCGATTCGCATACTTTGGTCTTTCCCAACGATCTAAAGGTGGACAACACTGGCTCGCTCTGGGTACTATCCGATCGCATGCCCACCTATCTGTACAAGGAGCTGGATCACAATGCCGTCAATTATCGCATATTGACGGGTAAGACCAGCGACCTTATCAAGGGTACACCGTGTGAACTGTAATATAAATATATATATATCTCTTTTTTTATGTTTGTTTATGAAATGTATTTTTTAATTATAAAATTTCACTTAATAAAGTGTCCAAGTCTATCTGAATGCACTGTATCCTAAGCCTAAATATCAGATTTCAGCAAATTGTCCGCCAGTTGAACTTTCTCGCCGGGCTTGAACGCTGGCATGCCCAGATAGGGGCAAGTGGAGCATCTGAACGCATCGCCCAGATAGCACTGCAAAATAAAATAAAAAAGGTGAATTTGATTAGATTCTTTTGTTTACAGACTCATAATTATTATATACAAAACATTTAAATAAGTTTATAAATTATATTAATTAATTACATTATTATAATTAATATAATAAATTAATTAATTAATATAATTATAATTAATATAATAATATATATATATATATATTATTTGATAATAAATTTGAAACTCAAAACAGTAAAAGACTTCAATGCAAACAGAGATAAAACAAAGATAATAGTTATTTTTTTGTAAATTAGCTTATGGAGTGACAGCTGATTGATTTGTTATCTATTACATAACAGTCAACTATTGTTTAATATATAACAATGCAATTTCAAGAGCTTCATTTAATGTGAACAGTAAAATATATTGTAATAACTTTGAATAGACTTAAATACAAAACAAACTAGCGAAAATATAAAAATAAAATAATTAACTAATTTAAAGCTCAACATAGAAACTTAAATATATTTAGAAAATTGTAAAGTTGATTTGGCTTTCAGCTTCATAGAACAATCAGCACGACAAGCATGAACCATAGTGCATGTTCCGCTCTATTTAGAGTCAACTTAATTACAGTACATTGTGCATAGATCACTTTTGCTATTATTAATAAATAATAAGCTTCACTATTGTTAATACTAATTACAAAGATTTGAATATGTTATAAATATAAATAAAATAATATAAAATAGAAATAATAAGTTTATGCACCCACTTGCATAGCCTTTATCAGCACTGTTATATAGTATATAGACTCAATTAACAATAACAATTAAAACATAAACAAAAATAGATGAAAAAATTAAAGATAAGAGCATGAAAAGATAAATATGAATAGCAATCAATTTGTTCTACTGGCTGCCGTTATCGTGTATTTAACATACTCATAAAAAATATATAAATTATTAATTACCAGCACAAGAGTTAGTTATATAATACTAAAGATTAGAATATAAAAGAAAGGCAAACAATAACAAAAACAGCCTAGTAAAACGAAAAAACTAATGAAGAATTTGTTAACGTAGCAAACGCTACTCTTTTCGTAATCTAATCATAATGCCCTATCCCTGTCGAAGTTTCCAATTTCTTAAATCTCTAATTTTCAACTGACAAGACAGTGAAAGGTTTAGGTTGTTTTGTGAGACATAAACACAGACGATTTACGTACATTTCCACAGCTGGACTTTGCATTCTCGCTTGCTGCTTTTGTTTTCTTCTCATCCTCCAACTCCTCGGCAAGGCCACAGGAACAATTTTTGCATGCTTTACGTTTGCCCGTAGTGCTGCAGACACGTAATCCAGCTGGATCGGGTTTTTGTTTGTCCTCCTCATCGAGCAACTCCTCCTCATCGATTAGCTCCTCATCATCGCCGCTTATCTTCCAGACATTCATGCTAGGTGATTTCTTAGCAAAAGATAGCCGAGCCGATGAACCTGTCTCATAGCCAGGCTTCTCAGCTGTCAACGTATTAGCCGACGCATCCTCGCTGCAATTGATGAAGCCAGACAGTTTGATTTCTTGCAACAAACTGCCAGCTGGTCCGATGTAAGCGAACAAGTGCAGTTTGCCGCTCGGTTTGAGCATGTGCAGTAATTTTACGTAATTGTCGGTCAATTGGGCGCATTCAATTACAATTAGATCGAAACACGAATTGGCGTAGGAGGCTAAAATGCATGCAATTGGCTATAAACATGCTGACTCACACCCTATATTGTTAGCACTTACAAAACGACAGACGATGCACGTTCTCGACAGCTACCTCGCCGCCGGTGGCTTCTTTCAGTGTCTGTACGCGTTTGTCCAGTTCACCGCTATCCGTCCATATGTATAGGGATTTTTGAAGGCCTTTAAATTGTTCCATTGTTATGTAGTTGGTTCTAGACTTTATTACAAATGAAATTTTTAAGCGCACACAACGAACTCAGACTGCCAACTGCTTCGTTAACAGACTAAAAACTGCCAATTGGTTCGAAATAGTATTTTTGGCATTCACATAGATGTTAACTTAGCAGAACCAAATAGAGTAAATTTAAAAAAGCATTTAAATTTGCCGCAATATTAACATTTAAATTTGAATAAATGTTTTGCGGTTTTAATACTCTTAAATATTTTTTAAGAATTAACGCAAATAAATATACAGTTTACATATTCATTTTATAATTAATATGAATACATAAGTAAACTTGAAGTAATTGTATATTAGACAAATTCTTTAAGCCTTCAATATTTTTGAATGAACTGACGTCACAAACTACCCTAATTCTTACTTATGCTACCGATAGATAATTCTGCAAAACTATCGCATACTCTTTCAGATATCGATATACGCACAGGAAAAGATATCGATATGATAACAACAACCCTAGTTTGTTTGGTAGCTGCTGCTAGTGGGGTTTGGTTTCGTTTTTATTTATTATAAATCAGTTACCACAGTTTAGTTGCAAGTTTAAACAGCCGCCAGCCGCATCAAGCTTCAGTCATAGTCGTACTCGCGCTCTTAACTCTACACATTTTAATTATGGTCAGGCGGGCATTCTAAAGTACAAAAAAATAACAAACCACAACAACAACATCGAAAGCGAAACCGTGAGAAACGCCAGCTGCTGCTTGCTGCGTGTGCTGTGTGCCAGGATACAACTACTTGGAGAAGAAAATATAAAAATAGAAACACAAACAAAGTACAAGTGCAAGTGCAAGTAGTGCCAAACTGTTAAACAAGTTGCCAAAATAAAAAAGAAATTAATAACCGACAAGGAATACAAATAAATTGAAGTCTATTTAAACAGCATGTGCTTAAATGAAGAGCTACAGCCAATTTAATTTAAACGCCGTTGCCGCCGCACCGCCCGCCATTGTCTACGAGAACGCAGCCGCAGCAGCAGCCGGCAACAATAGCAACACCGTGGACCACAGTCAGCTGCACAGCCACAGCCAGGATATGCCGCACTTTGGACTGGGCAGTGCGCCGCCGCCGCAACAGCAGCTACAAGTGCATCATCAACAACAACAACAACAACAACAACAGCAACAACAACAAATGCAGCTATCTATGCTGCCGGTTGCTGTGCCAGGTCCATACCGGTCGCACATTGAGGAAAAGAAGCTGACGCGTGATGCCATGGAGAAATATATGCGCGAGCGCAACGACATGGTCATCGTCATATTGCACGCCAAGGTGGGTTCAAAACAGAAACATAAAACACCAAAAAAAAAAAGAATAAGGGAGCATGACTCTGATAGGTTGCGCTTCGTGAGAGGATAAACGCGATTGCGTGACGTCACAAGTGCAAACAGTTATAAGCATGCAGTACATCGTTAATAATATTTTGGAATGTAATCAATAGACCACACATAATTAATATGAGCAATAGTTATTCAGTTTAACTCATTTTCATTGATGCATAATATATAAAAATATGTATTGAAATAGTCCTGTAATTTCCATTAAAAATATTACTGTTACAAATACATTATTAAAAAACTGACGATTTTAAGACTTAAGGCAGAATAATTAAAAAATTATAAAATTGAATTTTTTAATGAGTTATTTATGATACATGTGGAAGTATTAACTTAATTAACTTAAAAATAATTTTCAAAAATAGATTTGTTTCAAAAAATCAAATTCTATTGATTGGTCAGTTATAAAATTATATTAAAAATTAAAAAATTTAATAATATAATATATTGTTAGGCGTTGTGATGCTTTATAAATTACAGTAATTAAAAAAAATATGAAAGTAACAAAATTATCGAAAAGTAATTTAATTTATAGTTCATTAGAAAATAATTTGAAAAATGAATTTAGATTAGAATTTTGTATTAGTAGCTTGTTAAAGGTAAATAATTTAATAATTAATTATACAAAATGCTTAAAAAACATTTTTAGCTAGCTTTAATTGAATTATGAAACCAATTTATTATTGTATTATATATTTCATAGTTTTGATATAATTAAGTCATGCACAGATTAGACAACAGATTTAGAGCAGCTTTATATAGAATATAAATATTGCAATTCCACAGCGAATTAGTGCTCCAGTATGGGCATTTTTTGCGGTTTGGCGCGGCGATCTTCAAGCGGCGTCGGCGTCGACATCGTCAGCGGCCGCCGTCCAGGCATCGCATCCTTCACAGTTGACTGCATCCAAATTAAGCAAACGGCGGCCACAATAAAATAATTGAAATTAATTATACGACAAATTTAACAGCTGCATTGCTGCGGTTACAATTTGTTACGATTTGTCTCTGTCGATAATCCAAGCGCTGATTATTATAATAATAATTATTTTTTTATGATTATTATTTAATGTAATTAATTGATTTAATTTAACTTAATTTTTTCACACAGGTCGCACAAAAATCCTATGGCAATGAGAAGCGTTTCTTTTGCCCTCCACCGTGCATTTATCTGTTTGGCAGCGGCTGGCGACGGCGCTACGAGGAGATGCTGCAGCAGGGCGAGAGCGAGCAGGGAGCACAGCTATGCGCGTTCATTGGCATTGGCAGTAGCGATCAGGATATGCAGCAGCTGGATCTCAATGGCAAACAGTATTGTGCGGCCAAGACGCTGTTCATATCCGATTCGGATAAGCGCAAACATTTCATGTTATCTGTTAAGATGTTCTATGGCAATGGCCACGACATTGGCGTGTTCAATTCGAAGCGCATCAAGGTCATCTCGAAGCCGTCCAAAAAGAAGCAATCGCTGAAAAATGCCGATCTGTGCATAGCCAGCGGCACCAATGTCGCCCTGTTCAATCGCCTGCGCTCCCAAACTGTCTCCACACGCTATTTGCACGTGGAGAATGGACATTTTCACGCCTCGTCAACGCAATGGGGCGCCTTTACGATACATCTGCTCGATGACAATGAGTCCGAGTCGGAGGAGTTTCAAGTGCGCGACGGCTATATCCACTATGGTGCGACAGTTAAGCTGGTCTGCTCTGTGACGGGCATGGCCCTGCCGCGTCTAATCATACGCAAAGTGGACAAACAGATGGCACTGCTGGAGGCAGATGATCCGGTGTCGCAACTGCATAAGTGCGCCTTCTATATGAAGGATACGGATCGTATGTATCTATGCCTCTCCCAGGAGAAGATCATACAATTTCAGGCCACGCCGTGTCCCAAAGAGCCGAACAAGGAGATGATCAACGATGGCGCCTGCTGGACAATCATATCCACCGACAAAGCTGAATATCAATTCTACGAGGGCATGGGTCCAGTGGCGTAAGTTTTTAAATATTAAAATTAGTTTTTACTATTGATTTTTCGTTAAATATATTCAGATCTCCGGTAACGCCTGTGCCAATTGTTAACTCACTAAACTTGAATGGCGGCGGCGATGTGGCTATGTTGGAACTGAGTGGCGACAATTTCACGCCGCACTTGCAGGTCTGGTTCGGCGATGTCGAAGCGGAGACCATGTATCGCTGCACGGAAACGCTTCTCTGTGTAGTGCCTGAAATCTCACAGTTTCGCGGCGAATGGCTTTGGGTGAGTGCAAATGGAATTGTATGCTAATTTGCTATATATATTAACTACTGGATATATATTATTTCGGCAGGTGCGACAGCCGACTCAGGTGCCTATATCATTGGTGCGCAATGATGGCATCATTTATGCCACTGGTCTAACATTCACCTATACGCCGGAGCCTGGGCCGCGTTCGCATTGTAATCAGGCTGAGGATGTTATGCGTACGCGTCACAATAACAATAACATCACAGGCATCAGTAACAATAACAATAACAATAGCAACAGCAATAATAATAACAACAATAACAACAACAGCAGTAATTCACCAGCTAGCGGTTCCAGTTTACAGCAGAGCATGCAACAGCAAACGCATCAAACACTGCCCTCGATCTCAGCAGTGCAGTGGAATAGCCATGGGAGCGGCTTGTCTTGAGTGCGGCAGTATTTCTATTATTTGCAATTCCATATACATTTATTTATGCCAAGTTATTTAAAGCTCTTCTAGCACACATTTATATCTAGTTATTAAGCGAATACACAGCACATCTCTCTGTCATTTATTTCTGTTGCTTATTCTTGTTACTGAAAAAGCGATCGCCTTGAATGCAAAACGAACAAATCGAATGAAAATCAATTTCAAGTTGACCAATATTTACATTTTTTTGTAGTGCTAGCCGGTACCAATAGATGTATGTATAAATGCTAAAAACTAACGAAAACATAATTGTACATAACTCGAAAGAGCTCACTGACATGAAGAATTGTAACTGTAACTCTAGTTAAATATACATTTATATATATAGTATATAGAAGATTGATGTATATGCTGGGCCTATGCGCTGTGCCTGACTAATTGTTTATGTCAAATGTTTGCGACATTTTAATTTATAAATCTTTATATGGCAAACACTTAAGAATTGTTCACGCTTAATTCACTTAAGCTAAGCTCTACATAAGCCCAGCTCTAGACCACATATATATAGATTTATATACAAAGCATATAATTTTGTAAGATAACTGAATGATGAAAGTTGTAAGCCTAAGAGAAACCCTAACTTTAAATAAAAATACAAGAACAAACATTAACAATGTCAGTCAACACCAAGAAAAAAAACAAAATCAGTTCAAAATTTGCCATGATTTAACATTTTTCTTCTGCTTTAGCAGCAAAAATGATGACAGGGAAACGGAATTATAAGAATTTACCCGCAGGCCCCGCCCCCGTCTTGTCCTCTGCGAGTTTAGTTAGGCGGATAGCCGATTTAAATCGGCTTGGGAAAATGTTGCCATGTCGTGTGAATATTTTTTTGTGTGTGGCTTAAACAAAACAAGTGCAGCACTTCCCACGGTGGGCTGCCTCTTCAACTTTAATTACAGTTGGTTGGTTGGTCGATTTGAATTTTTAGCGGCCATTACGAAAAACGCATAGTCAAGAAATATATATATCCATATATATATATATATGTATAAATATATATATGCTATATATACACCTTTGTATCTGGTTGTATGTGTGTCTATGCATATATAACGCCGCATTGTTTGCGTTGAAAGTCTAAGGAACAGAATATTCACACAGCCCCAAAAGGCGTTGACAATAAGCTGAGAACCTTTTTTGTTTTTGTTTTTGTTATTGCTTTTTCGTCTTCTTAACTATCTTTGCTTAATATTTATGCATTATTTGCCCGACTACCTGTTATTGTTGTTTTACAGACTTACAAATTAACAATCGCCGTTTGCATTAATTATCGCGCTTCCGTTTTGGATTGCCAAACTAATCACAGCATCGAACTTGAAGCTTTCATTGAATACCCCACAGACCTAAGCTAGCTAGCGTTAATTGGCTGACATAAAGTTGTTCGAATGTGTATTGATAACGTCAGGCACAACTTTATAGATTATCTAGTTTCTTCTTCTCTGGCTTTTAACAGTTTTTATACTTAACTTATTTCGATATATATTAAAATATAATATATATAATAGAATCCCTCTAATACTTACTTCTGTGATGTAAGTCTAACAATTCAAAGCTGAGAAACACCTAGCCCAAGCACACTTACTAGTTTTAATTTGAATTATTATGACTGAGACATACAAGTCTTATCAGAATCAGCGAAGCAGTCAGCAAATGCAACTCACCCCCAGTTTGGTGGGAATTCTATTTTTGTAGATGGCAAACGAAAGACTTAAACGACAAACTTGACGACGCGTCGTTGCGTGCAAGATGAGCAAGATACGAGAGAGAAGAGCAAGAGGTCAAGTTGGAAAGAAGAAAAAACCACCACCATCAGGCTGTGTAATTGGAGCTGCAACTTCTTAAGGCCAACGCCGTGCACGGCATCTTATAAGAAGCTGAATACGAAATTAGTTGAATTTTTAATGAACATTCACATTCACATTCACATTTTGAGTGCATAATTTTTGCTCTCCCTCGCTCCCTGTGTCTAGTTGGACATTTGACTGCGTCGTTGGGCTGTGGTCGAGCAGGTGCAGGGGCAGCGGCAGGTGCTGGGGTTGGCGTCTTTAAAAAAGTTCCCAGGAGCTTCCACTGCACTAATTATCTTGGAAAATCAGAGTCTTGACTTTAAAGCCGGCTGCCGGTTTTCACACGCTGTGAAAATTCTAAACATACAATGCGTGGGAATCGCCAGCCGGTTGTGTGGGAGTCAAAATGGGGTTGCATGCAATCATAGAAAAAAAAACAACACATAAATAAATAAATACACATAATAAAGAATAGTATATATATTTATATAATTCAATTATAAAATTCTTAGTTTACAAATTCTGCTCAGAAAAGTTTAGGAGATCGGAAAAAGTTGTAATTGATGCAAATGCAATTATTCAAAATTATTATTAGGAGAAATTAAGATTTTATTGATTTGATTGAGCTTATCAAATATTTATGTATGACTCTTTAGCAAAACTTTGACAGGACGAGAGGCAAAGCGAATATTTGCTATGAGAGGCCCTCACATGGACGTATCAGGCAGCAAAGGTGTTTCAAAGTTAAATCAACAAAGATAAAGTTGAGGCAGTCTTGTCAGGTAAATGATAATAATAATAGAATATATTATATTACAATTATTATTAATTCCTCAGAAAAGCCGTCGAAAATATCAATCGAACTTGCTTATCAATCGAGGTTTCTTAAAAATTACGATAAGATAGATAAGATTACTACTATTCAGGAAGTCATATCTATACTGGCAGGCAGTCTGTCATCGGAATATATGCAATCAGAGATAATAACCATTATAATTATTAATTTAGCTATTTAATTGCAGCACACAACACTAGAGGTATGCACCGACCTATATCAACTATTGATATATATATATATATATATATATATATATATATATATATATATATATATATATATATATATATATATATATATATATATATATATATATATATATATATATATATTATATTATATTATATTATATTATATATTTCCTGATATGATGATATGATATGATGAGGGAGCTGCACAACATCTCCATTTTGAGGAAAGTCTTTGTTGGTTTCTTTGCCAAATTTGTTTAATTGAGTTTTATATGTTTTATGTTTATATGTTTATATGTTTATATTTGAATTTACAGAAAATCAGCGAAATAGTGTCACATCAAAATCATCAATGAATTCAAAATCTTTTCCAAGAAAACTAAGAAAGAATATTAAGCCACATAATGAATAAATATATTTGGCAGCTCAATAGATAGAGAATTAACATATAACATAAAACTGCTAATATGGTTCTATGCACAACTATCATTGATAATCATTATCATTGATAATCAACATAGGGACTATGCACTAAAATGATGAATGATGGATGCTGCCGAAGCATGTTTACTTACTAGTCTTATTTTATATACTTCATATGTTTCCAAATATGTGAATGAGATTTATGCTGTATGCACAGATTTCTTTTTAATATGAATTAACTTTAGCTAACTTTATTTATTGTCCTGGAATTCCGTTTTAAATGGAATTTTCGAATCGTTTCTCCACAAAATTTAAAGCAAATCGTTGGTCAGCCGATCATAGAGTTTAGCATGTATTGCTTTGAAGAGACCAGACATTTATTTCGATATACTTTATATGCTTATAATGCCAATTCCAGTTTACCCTACCTTTTACTTATGCAATTGATTGATAAGATTACTAAATGGCACATCGGCTAGGAAATCGGCAAACTGCTCAGTGCATTCTAGTTTGTCATATTGAAAAGTTGACTTGTGGCTGGTTTGGTCTAGTATCGAAGGAGATTACTCACATTGACGAAAATCAGACATTCGAATTGGCAAGCATATCTCAAAATATGGCGATCGAAGGGGTACGTTTCGGATAACTAACAAAAAAAGCGAGGGTCTACATTGAACAAGAAATCTAACAGTTATTAGACTACGGTGCCTTTGGAGAGGCTTTCATATACAAATGGTCGATGGATCCACTAAATCCAGTCGTCGTTGTGGATAATACCTATAATATTGATTCGAGCGATGTACAATTGCTACTTCGTATCAATCATAAGAATGTTATCAAATTTGCTGAAATTATCGATGGTTTTATGATGCTGGAATATGCGGACTGTGGATCACTGAAACAACTTCTGCATGGCGACGAGCAGAGGGAATATTCTTTGAGAAATGCCCTCGATTGGATGCATCAGGCAGCAAAGGTTAATTTTAACGGCTTATTTTGCTCATCTAACTCAACTATCACTCCACGTTTTTTAGGGTCTGAAGTACCTGCACTCCTGCATTTATGCAACAACGACGTACTACAGGTTGACACCAAAATTTTTGATGTTAACGAACAACTATCGCTACTTAAAGGTTATTGTACTTCCCAGTAAATGTCAAAATTTGTCACCGACGATAACCGAAAGGATAATGGAAAAAATCGATTTAACAGAGAGGAGTGATATGTACAGCATAGGAACTACCATTTGGGAATTATTAACACGTAAAAAACTCTTTTATAACACGGCGTATACATCGCACGATATATTTGAGGCAGTCTTGAGAGGTACTCAAGGAGATGCGTAGTTATATTATATAACAATTAGAACTCTTTCCTCAGGAGAACATCCGCCAATAAGCGATATCAAAATATCAATCGATGACTGTTTCAAGAGATTAATTGAAAGTTGTTGGAACGCAAATCCAGATGAGAGACCGACTATTCAAGAGCTCATATCTACACTGGATGGCATTCTGTAAGCGGAGCATAAGTAATTAAAACTATTAAAAATTATAATGATTATTTGATTACAGCAAAGAAGAAATTAACGCGGACCTCGACCAAGTATTGAAGGCTAATACCGGAGCAATTATTGACTTTGCTGATATCGAGATTTGCAAGGTAACATTACCGAACAGCGAACACCGAACAGAGCCCAAAACGGACTCAAATTCTTTATAGATTTATTTGCTCTAATTGGTTTTCATATGCTTAAGATATCGAATAATGAATTTGTATATATAATATATTTTAATTATCTATTAATACACAGCAAATCAGGGAAGATCGGTTTGGTGTGTCCCACAAAGCAATGTGGCTAGGTAAAGAGAAAACAGTTACAAAATTCAAGGACTCCACCCAAGCGTGGACTGAACATCAACCCTTTCTAGAGCAAATAAGAAAGAATATTAAGTTAAACAATGAATACCTTGTAAATATATATGGCATCTCAATAGGCAAGGAAGACACTTACTTAATATCAGATTACTCAGATTGCGGATCTTTGCACGATTTTATGTATGATAGGGAACAGAGGAAGTATTCAGTAAATAGCGCAATTAAATGGATGATGGATGCTGCCGAGGTACATTTCAAAATACGTCGTATTAGATATTTATATACTTATATTTCTTCTCGTTTCCATATTCACTTGTAGGGCATTTGTCTACTTAACAGAAAAAGGCAAACAAATATGTTTCTGAACTACATCTTAACGCCGTATAATATGATCTTGTTTAACAACTTCAAGAGATTGAAGATTAGTGATTATTGCAGTCCTTTTGAAGCTTCAAATGTTGTAGATTCCACTGCAGAAATAGCGTATATAGCACCAGAGGTTAGTGTAAATTATATACCA